CGATAACTCGAAAACAATGCATTTTTTTACCTATGTTTGTATCAACTTTCTTGTTTTTGATTCCCCATTCATCTCCCGAGCGATTGACCTCGACTTACGGAACATCTGTATATATACATATACATATATATATATATATATATATATATATATATATATATATATATATATATATATATATATATATATATATATATATATATATATATATATATGTATATTTATATATATATATATATGTATGTATGTATGTGTGTGTGTATGTATGTATGTGTAGCAGTTTATATAACTAATCTTAGTATAATCCTGTTTTATTAAAAACATAGAAGGAAGTACAATTTCCACGTAATGTTTATGTACATTTGTATGTTTCAGGCCTAACGTTATTGCACGTAAACGAGAATGCGTACCCCTGCTGAGACTGAAACACTGAGCCAACCTGAAATGTATTATCTAGACACAGAGGAGACTGGAACGTCCGCAGATGTAGACCGAGCAGTCCTGTCATCCCCTCATCCGGAGGCTCATATATTTACGAACAGGTACAAAAAGATTTTTCTTTTATTCTTGTTTTTTTCCCAGGGTTTTTTCCCGGAATTTTTTGGTCAGCTTTGACAAATAAACAGGTATGCTTATTTGAATAAGGACTTGATTGTGCCTTCGGTGGGACGAATCTCCAAAACAAATGATCAGGTAGAACAGATTTGTCACAACAGTCGAAGGTAGTTTGATTCTAACGCACTAACCCAAGTAGAATAGGTTGCCTCTTGAAGTTCTTGAAGTTAACTTTTGGAACGTATTTATAACAAGTCAATGTCAATAATTCGTCTCCATTAATATGACATCGATTAAATAATAGTTTACAGTTGGTTAATAGCTAGTTCATTTACGCATCTTACAGTTATCATTTAGTATATATTTAATTTGTATCCATATCGATACTTTTATATCTAAATGATATCTTTTTGGATATTAAAAGTTATTTTTCGGGCGGACATTAGGTAATTTCAATAAACAGAAACTTTTTTACCGAAAATAAAGTTATCCTGATCTAATTTTATATAGTAAAATTGAATACTTTAAGATAACGTTATTCTACTTGGGAAGCTGCGCCAGTGCTGCGAGTTCGGGTAACTTTTGGTGCGTTCGCTTTGGGCGTTTACGCGCTTAAACGTCATTCTATCTTTATCGCTCATTACCTGCGGGAAAAAGATCGAATGACGCAAAGCGCCCAAAGCGAACGCCTCAAAAGTTACCCGAACTCACAGCACTGAGCTGCGCGCGTTAAAAATTCCCATGATTCAAAATTACGCGCGTGGTACTATCGACATCGACCTCGGCGCTCCCCTCTTGCCTCCCGTATCGACTCGTGCCGAGCGTTCGATGTATCGAGCACTCGCGACTCCGATAGGAGCGCGAATGTATTTGTCGCGCGACGAACAACGCTGACTTCGCACGAAGTCTTCAGGAAGTTAACTTTTTTCATCGAATATCGCGGACATTGGACTCGAACCGCGTGTTATACATCGCGCGCCTGGTGAATTCGCAGCGTGGTCGTCGTGCCACGAATATAGTGACGTTTATCGGGATATACAACGATAAGCGAGACGCGAGTCAACAGAGAAAGAGAGGGAGGGAAAATGTGGATTGGGAGGGAGAAACGGTGAAGAGAGTAGAGGTAACTTCAGTCTGATCTACGCCGGTCTACACACGTCAAGTCAGTGAGTGCGTATCTCGCGTGTGTGCGCGTGCGTTGTCTTTCTCTCTTTCTCCCTCGGTGAGTTTTCGCGCTCGAAATCCGCGTCCGCCTCGGCGGTGTGTCGCGACGACCTTCGTTTCGTCGCGCGGTACAGTGCCCTCGCCGCATCCATATGCTACGCGCGGCACGATGGTCTTCGCGCGATTCTTCCTCAGAAAAGTCCAAAGCGACGAGGCCGCCGTCAGCAACGTCGTCGTCTCGAACAACGTCGTCATTGGCACGAGGAGGTGAGTGCGATGGAGAGCGGGGAAGTGAACGCGAGAGAGAAAGAGAGAGAGAGGGAGAGAGAGAGAAAAAGAGGACGAGATTCGCGACATCGCAAATACCGTTGAGCGCGCATGGAATGCGCTGCTGATAACGCAGCCGTCGAGATCGGAGCCTGGAAGCCGTTGCCCCCCGCCGCTGTTTCGTCGACGACTTCGATTCCCCGACGTCCGCTTTACTCGACCTGAGTCGCAATTTTCATCCTACTCTCATCTTCGATATTCAGTTTAATGTCTATTCCGATAATCTGAAGATCATGTCAACCTCCTTCGATTCTATTTAACCTACTAACTTTGCTGAGAGGTCGTCTTTTAAGGCCGGCTTACACCGGTAAAGTGGCAGTAACGATGTTAACAGTAAAAAGCTAATAACAAAAATGTTTTTAGCAAAACTCTTCAGAAAACAACTTGTTGTTTGTTCCAAACAAAATATATTTTTAACAATGTGTTTTACAATGTTTTTAACAAGATTCCTAACAAAATATACTTTTAACAATGTAGAAAACAAAGTTTGAAAAACTATTTATCATGACTAAATTGCTAATATTATTAACATGAATATATGATATTCTCAAATATTCTCAGCAAAATTGGAAAACGATTAATGTTATCAGCAAATATATGCTATATATAAATTTGATAATATTTATAGTACGATCAGTTAAGTCAAGACAAGATCCTTGTTATTAACACATCTAGTTCAATTTTCTGCTAATAACATTCGCTTTCAATATTCTTTGATCTAGAGGACTAAGTGATAGAAATATAGAAATAATAGTCCTGACGATATTAATGACAAAGTTATCAACATGTTACCAAAATAAATATCAATAATATTTGTTTTCTGTAGAATATTGAAAACAAATTATTCACATTTTTCACATTCCAAAATAACAAAGTTGACAACAAAATATAATTTGTTTATTATATTGCTAGCAACTTGTTTCGTAACTTGTTAGAAACCATTGTTTCAAAGCAATTTTTAATGTAACAGTTTACAATTGTCAGTAACGCCGCTAAAAACACGTGATTAGCAATGTTAGTGTAACCAGCCTTTAGAACTTACAGATGGCATCTTATGCGTTTTCTGCTATTTAGAGGCGTTAACCTTTCATATACACATTTATTTTTTCAACTTTTGCATACACACTGAGTGGTTGCCACTTATGGCAATTTTCAAACAGCTGTATCTTTTAAAATATTTATGCTAAAATTCTGAAAAAATTCATGGGTTAACTTTAATGTTTATAGAAAGTATTTACATACTTTTGGTATTAAAATTTAAGAAATTTCATATTAAAAAAAATTATATTTCGCGATTTAAAAAAAAGTGAGTTTTTGCAAAAAAATTTGAAACTTCTGTAATTTTTATTATTTTTAAGTAAAAATTTAGCATTTTATTGTTGAAATGTTTATCTTTAAAGAAAAAATTGTCTCGTAAGTCATCTCTGGAAAAAACATTTACAATTTTATATACTATACATATATGTATATACATATGTATATGTATATATATACATATGTATATTTACATTTAATAAATTTGATAGTTGAGCATACCAATGCAAAAATTGAAGATGTATGATAGCGCTGAATTTTAGTTATGTGGTAACCATCCAGTATGTATACGATGGGTTAAACAGGATTTTAGTTTATATGTGTATTAACCGTACACTGTACGTTCAGGATATATAGACGTTAGAAAGTTCAAGTCGAAAAAGTAGAGCTAAAATTTCGGCTCGGAGAGATATGCACGGAACGAGACGCAATTCCATAGCGGGCATGGCGAGATATCCGTCGACACGACGTACGGATTACGAAGAAACGTCGGGCGGGGATTAACAATAGTGACGAGTTGACACGATATCCGCGTGTTCCGAGGCAGCTCGAGACGCATTGGGGATCGCGTATCACGCGAGCGATACCTCCCGATAATTTCAAGTCACCGACGGTAATGCGATACGGATTACTGCTGTATAGCAGGCTGGAACCTGCACGTCTGTCGATTACCTTGCGCGTTGATCTCTCTCTCTCTCTCTCTGTTTGTCTTTCTGCGTGCATCTTTCTCTTTTGCATGCACAGATGATGCTACAGATTGGGGCTATAAATAATGAGAATCTTTGACACTGCTTAGAGTTGTTAGGTATATTGATCTTTACTGCTTAGGGTTGTTAGACATATTGATCTTCGTTATACTGTTCAGCTGAGATAACGCAATTCTAAATGGTTTACATCATTATTATTCATGTGGAAAAGTCAATAATTAATTTTATATTACTCGTATAATTATTAATCTTACGTATAATTATTAATTACGTCATAATGTTAATAATTTTTAAATAATACAAATCACATGAAAGCCAAAGTTTAGATCTCAGTTGGATGGTCCAGCTGATATCTGAATATATGGCACAAACCTAAATGACTTATATCAATATTAAGGGGAATTCACACTTTTGCAGAAAAGCAGAAAATAAAAAGGTAGACAGACAAATCAGAACTTGCAATGGATTAAGAGTGTTTTTAAATGTTGGAAGAAGATATCATTATTACAAAAATAATCATTTTTTATACTTCTTGTAATTATAATATGCAAGTTATAATATAAGTTTTAATTAAGTAATTATTATAATATAAGTTATTATTATATAATATGCAAGTAAAATTATAATATTGTTGAAATTCAAGACTTCAAAATTTTTTTTACAAAAGTATATATTGTTGGTTACATATAAAACAATGATTGTGCATTTGAGTGTATTACTTTTATTTAAGTGGATATTAATTTTTTTGTGAACGAGCTTTTTTCTAATTTTTGATGAGTATAGAGCCGAGTTGATTAAATGGATGGAATAATAAGATAAAGTAGAAAATGTAATGTAGTTGGAAAATGTAATGTTCGTGATAAACAGGTAACAGTAAAAGAGTAATAGTAAAAGAGAATAGTAAAAATAGATCAAGTAAAAGAATGAAAATTTAAATTGTGAAATCTAAAGATTATAACTACTATGATTTTAGGATGAGAATATAGGTAAGAAAAGATTTAATATAAAGTGCGAACGGATGATGAGGATAACGTTTTGTAAACCAAGTCCCCTTCTTGGCTAGCAGAAGTAATACGTATATCTATTTAAAATAAAGTTCAAAAACTGTTATCAAGAAAATATTTTTTTTTGAAGATAACCATTACTTAAGCTGCGTTCGAGGAGACGCTATTTGGAGAGTGTTCTGTCCTTGTTCAACTTTCAGTAAGTAACAAGGACAGAATATGCTTTTAGCTCCAAATAGTGTCTCCCCGAACGCAGCTTTAAAAAAAGGGAAGTAAAATGAGAAAATGTTTTTCCCAGCAGTAGAATGATATTTTTCTGTGCGTATAGTCCAGCTGAAATATAGTTTGAAAATCGTAACAACATTCCAAAAGTCTAGAGCTATATTTTTAGAGCTACAAGTCGGTTTCGTGTGTACATTGTTCCTTTATACGCGATAAATAGATACGCTGCAATCAGTCCGTTTCCAGCGT